CCCTTGTATATTGGTAGAAAAAATCATTTTTGTATTTAATGGATGGAAAATTAGACGGAATGTGGACGAAAGGACGTCCAGCGCACAAAACTTTGAAGGTAAGGGCATAAATGCCAAGAAATGAAAGGTATGGACGGTTTCCGAAATCAACCCCAAAGGTAGGGGCATTTTGTGCTAATTAGCCAATAAATATTATTTGAACATGCAATGTGAAATGATGTCTATGTTTGAGGTTCATTATCTAAATAGAGTAATGTTATTTGCAGTCGCTCACTATAGTAATCGTTTTACGTGACACACACATGATAGATGGTTATTTGATGTATTAATGTGGTATTTTTTTATTGACTCGTGCATCAATTAACCACTTGACATGTGTATGATTCGTAGGACGATTGTCATAATGAGTTATTGCGAATAACATTATTCATCTAAAAGCTCTTTCTTTTTTCAAGTTTATTTTCAATCATGTTATTTCAATGAAATGATTTTGTTATTTTGAGCGTGAACTCAAAAGTTTCCTTGCGAGGATAGAAATAATACGAGAGATCTACAAAATAAATAGCAAATTTTTGGACTTTTACTTTTCATAGAATGCATTCCATTGAGGAATTGTCGGAAGCCAATAACCTTCCTTGACGCCATGTGTACAAAGTAGAAGAGTTGACTTCGAAAATGATGTTTATACATGGAATTCAAGTGTAGCGTTTTGTGTATCTATATGCTTTAGACTCAGGTAATGAGAGTATATTATTTGATGTAATTAATGTAAAAGGTTGTTGTGGTCTATATTAACTTCAATCAAGCTACAGTACATAAAATTTTGACAGACAACATAAGTTGAGAATTGATTGGAAGGTGGAAAGAGCAAAAAAAAAGTCTAATCAACTGTTGCCACGTTAGCTTGAATTCTGTCAAGAATTCCCTGTACTCGTGGCTTGCTTTTTCCTATTAACTTTGACGATGCAACAAGTAGGCCTATATGCTCGAGAACGATGATGTGCAAAGGCTCAAGTATGCGACATGTTATAAATGAGCATGTTGAAACTGGTGAATTACATATAGAGACAATATACCAATATGTGACAGTTACTCCAGGCGGAAGAGGTAGCATGTAACAATTGGTGTATAATATTCAATTACTACACATTTGATAATGTTGAATAGAACAACATATATGTGTATTTTTGACACTTTAAGTAACACTAAACACGATGCAAACTATGTAGATATGTTAAATATTAATCGAAACAATCTTGAACATTTACACTGTGACTGTGTCAAAGGATCACATATATTTTATACCTTATTATACTAGACGTAAACTAGAGTAAAAATATTTCCATGTAAATTTCATTCACGAGGACTAAACTTTCATTGAAATCTCAATTAGATCACTAAGCACTTGTTTGGTTTAGTTTAAAAATTTGATAAGATTTTTAGTGAAAGTCAATTAATTTTAGAGTGTGTTTGGTAGAGATTAAAATTGAAAAACTAGTCGTTATTGTTGACTTTTATTAGACGGGTGAGACCCAATAATGACTATATTTTCAATTTTAATTGGATTTTAAGTTCTCCCAAACAAGCTCTTAATTACCACACATTTCGTGAACCCAAAATTTTTATCCATTTTTTAACCACAAAGCAAATTATTTTGCTTTGAGATATATTTCAAGGAGTTTTTGCAATAAATGAAAGATCCAACAAAAAATAAGAAAAAGAACGTGAACAAATTTCCATCGCATAAAAACGGACGGTAAAGAACCGCACTCAGTATCGCGCCAATATAAACTTTTATTCGCTCTATATTGCTCCACGTTTACCGCCCCTCACTCTACCCCCAACTACTAGTGAATCTTCCTTCTTGTTCACACAAACACTGCACCACTCTCAAAACACCTCGTATAGATACAGAATTCTCTTTTTTAATTCATTATTGATGCAATCATTTGATAATTGAAACGCACAATATACCATTTGACCTTGATCTGTTCTACTTTTTGTTCATCGCCGTTAAATTTCAAGCTCGCTACACAGAGAATTACGCACAGAAAGGGTTTTTAGTTATTTTTTCTCAGATTCCGCCATGGACGCAGCTACTCAGCTGGTCTACTGCGGAGTTGATCCTCTTCACCGTAAATTATCGTTTTCGACCAACTTGCAGAAGTCAACCAATCGCCGGCCATTTTCAAGAATCCTTAAATTCCGAAACCAAAACGCCGTCGTAAAGGCCATTGCCTCGGAACCGAGACCGTCCGATACTAAGCCTGCCAGATCATCTCCACCGCCGCCCAAAGTTGTTAATGGGAAAACGCCATTGTCTAAGCCGGGCAACGGTGCTTCCAATGTAAGCCCAGTTGCAAATTAATGCCTTTTTTTTTTTTCAATTTATGTTAATCTTGAGTTAAAATTCAAAATCATGTGGCTGAATACATAAAAGAAGATAAAAGTTTGCGACCTTTGAGGGTGGGTATGGTTAAGTTGGGCTAAGAAGGGATGCCTTTTAGCTTGTCCACTTTATTTCAATTTAGCATTTTTTTTTTCCTTAGCTAACTAATGGAATTTTAATAAATTTTTTTCGGAGTTCATATTTTAATTTGGTTTGATTGATGGGAAAGTGAAGCTGAGAAGAACTTAGATTTAGAATTTACAAAAAAATAAAAATGTTTCACTATGTATTTTGAACAATATAGTAACAAACGGAAATTCTTCAGTGTCTTAGTCATAACTCATAACCCTGCTTCGAGAAGAAAGAAAGAAAGAAAGAAAAGAAAGCAAGGACTTGAAGCTAATAAACATAGGTTGACGACCCTGAAATGCATCATTTATTTACTATTGTACATTCATAGAGAAACCCAAAAGTTTTCCACTAGCATGCATATAGACGTGTATTTATATGCATAATCTGTGTTGGTGTTACCACGAATTTCTCATTTCTTCTTAACTGCCTTTTGAGAAATTTCTGGTACCTGTTAAAAGATCATGGTATTTATTAGGTGTTTAAACGTGCTACGATGGATTGAAGTAGTGATGTCTTACTATCATGTGATTTTGGGAATTGCAGAGAATGCAAGATGTATCACAAGAGATCAAAAGGGTGAGGGCACAGATGGAAGAAAATGAGCAGTTGTCTATACTTATGAAGGGACTTCGGGGTCAAAATTTGAAAGATGCACAGTTTGCTGATGACAATATCAAGCTTCGGTTAGTTGAGGTCAGTAGTATGACTTTCATTTTGTCAAATGTTACTTCTAAATGCCTTGTTAGGTGTCCCATATGCGCATCTTGTTTTCTGTGTTTTTTCCTTTTCCTTTTCTTCTCTTCGCAACTTAGAAATTACCTAAAGGTCTGGATTTTCTAGTTTTACTTATGTAAAAACTGTTAGTGTGAGGTTTTCTTAAATACGACGTTCATTATGGTCCACCTATATTGCAAGTCGCGTGTTTTGAGTACCATACTAGTGATTAAATAACTCCAAAGTTTCATCATCCATGATTTCAATTGCATTTACTATCTTTGGTCTCATTATTGACTTTTTTATTCCATAATTTGAACCTATGTACCTATCTGCTTGTGTTGACGTTAATTTTGCAGTTAAGTGGTAGTGTTCGACTAACTTCAGTTCCAGGTCTAGTGGCAACTAGTTTGATCATGTTTCTCTGGTCTTGGACCTGGATACTGTGGATCTAAAACAATCCCACAACTTGTCCATACTTTTTACTGTCTAAATTTTTGGATTCAGTTCATTCTAGGTTGTAAGTGAAACCTTTGGGTTTCCTTTATATTCAATATTCCAAAAAGGAAGACTTCTGAATATATTTATGAAATAAATGATCAAATATATCTTTTCTTTCTTGTGAAGTCAACCACCAAGTATTTCAAAGGTTTTTGACTAGCTTACAAAATTACAATTGACCAAGCTAAACTGGGATCTAGTGAAAACTTTTTCAAATCGAGTTTCATCGACACAGACTAGTTTGAGTGTGATCCTAGAGTTTCCACACAGACATTTGAGTATTTTTCATCTTGTTTTACATGTTTGAAATGTTGATAAGTATTTATAGGGAAAAAAAAAGTAATAGTACATCTTTTAGTTACTATTAACACTTAACATGTTAAATATCCTTAAAAGAAAACTAGGATCTGATGAAAACTGTTTCACAAGAAATCTGGTTTCATTGACACAACCTGGTTTGATCCTGATACTAGAGTTTCCACACAGGCACTTGAGGATTTTTTTCATACGTTTGAAATGTTGGCAAGTAGTCATGAGTAAGCAATGTAATAGCACATCTCTCAGTTACTAGTAATACTTAAAATGCTGAGTGTTATTAAAGAAATATGCCACGATTCAATTATCTGATGCATTATCATATGGCTTTTAGGTTGTAAAATGGTGCTTCACTGAAAGCCTTTAGTAGTGATGTCATGAACCCTTTTCTGCTCCTTCAGGTTGACGAAAGCAGCGAGTTTTTGCCTTTGGTGTATGATCCTGATATCATTACTGCTTACTGGGGAAAACGACCACGTGCTGTTGCAACCCGTATTGTCCAATTATTGTCTGTTGCGGGAGGTTTTCTCTCTCGTCTTGCCTGGGATCTCATAAATAATAAGATAAAGGAAGTAAGGTTTCATTGTACTCCTTCCATTTTAACTGCCTATATTCTTTTGATTTTGAATTAGTTGGTGAATATTGGACATGTTGGCTTATAAAATGATTTATAATCTTTCTCTGACCAATGACTCATAGCTCCCACTATTTTCTGTTTGTTAATTTATATCACTGGTTGACCATCGGTTCTTGAAGTGAACTCTTCGTTGAACTGATTATCTTCTTGATTGAGTTACTTCACCCCTCCACCCAGCCTCCCTCCCTCAAGCATGTATTTGAATAATAATTGATGTTGCAGGCACCATTTTTCATCTACAAGAAGTTCCTTGAGTATCTTTTTTCAGATGGATATGATTTGCGGCTATCATTGGACATGCCAGAATTTTGAACGTGCAAGACCACAGCATTTTTATACCATAAAGACATGAAATAAAATGTACCATGCTTCCACTTAGAGGGTAATGACAGAAGCATCTTCATTTACTCATTAAAATGTGGCCTCGAACTTGCAAAGTTCAAAATGAATTTGATCAAAGAAGGTCTAATATGGGCTTTCGGTGTGTAGTTTATATAGATTTGGGCTTTCCAACTTCAACAACTAGCTTTTGAGGTGTGATTGTCCCAATATCTATATTAATGGTATCAGAGCAAGCACCATGTTTCTCGTTTGCAATCGAGCGGCACGAATGGTGACACCAGCATAGCAGTGTTCAAAGTTTCCTTATAATGAGTTTTCTTCTATAGTAGTAAAGTTCACGGGAAATCCTTTTTTGAACAAATTTAGTGTAAGAACAAGAAATCTACCTATCATCAAATAGAGACTGAAACTCCTTTGCTCAACCTCCTTTTCTCCCTCACGACTTTATGTTGAATGACATAGTAACATAGTTTGAAAAAATGTAAACGGGTAGCAAGGCCTTTTTTTGTCATGAGGCGGGGCGAAAGCCTCATCACAAACAAAACAGGTGCAATCTGCCGAACAGAACATGTGCAATCTGACGTCGATGCACTGAACAAGAAAAAAGCCAAACAAAGTCTAGTGAAACAATTTTAAATTGTAAGTTACTAGAAGAAGGCAGAAGCAAAGGAGAAAAGAGACATAGAAGCAGCACTTGAGGACCTCTTTTAAGCGAATGATTGAAGAGAAGTTTTCTGGTTGTCGTTTAGTTCTGGGAAGATTTCTAACTGCCGTGTAGTTCTGGCCATCTAGGAAGATTTTTGTCTGCCATGTAGAAGGATTTCTGGCTGCCTTTTGGTATTCTAGATATTTTAATATTTTGTTTGACCCAAAATGTCTTTTTAAATGGGCCATTCTCTTTATTAAAGAGGGCCTTTTTAATTCTTTTTCAAAAACTTGAAAAAAACATACTTCAAATGAGGCGTACGCCTCATTTTTTTTTTACCTCAGATGTAGAGGTGTGCGCCTCATTTTTTTTGCCTCACAGATTAAGCCTTGAGGCACAGAAGCTGCGCTTCACAGTGAGGCGGGCCTCAGCAGGATTTTTTCATACCATGCATAGTAATACATGAATATAAATAGGACACTGCATTAAGGCTTATTCAAGCAATATTTTGAATCCAATAAACTAGAGAGAACATACACATGTCCTTTGCAACTGACTAACAGGAAAAAGTTAACAGAGAGTTGCAGGTAGAATGATCTATATATGCACTGTTTAATGAAATGTGTTCTTTTTCTATATATGCTAAATCAGCCATGTTTTCCCTTTATTTGTTTTCACCAGTTTTTAATTACTAAAGCAATTAATCAGGTCACAGTTGTAGACGTGATAATGCCTGGTATTTCACTTGCCATCTGATCCTTTCTTCTTACTTTCTACGTTTAGAATGAGGTTGCTCGAGCCATCGAATTGAGGGAGATAGTTACCTCCTTGGGTCCAGCATACATAAAACTTGGTCAAGCATTGAGCATTCGACCTGATATACTGTCACCTGCTGCAATGACTGAGCTGCAAAAGCTTTGCGATAAGGTGAGATTACACATTTTGGTCTTAAGTTTATATTTCTGCTCATTCCATTTCCTCTCTGTCCTCCTTTGATAAGCTGAGATTATACATTTTGCTCGAGTTTATATATCTGCTCATGCCATTTTCTTTCTGTTCTCTTTATCTTTGATTCTCATTGTTAGCTCGTTGATCAATATTGGCATACATTTGATATTGTTTTGATAACAAGTCTTGAAATGATTTTAAAATGTTACATAGCACGTAAGCCTTTCGAAATTTTTGTTAGATACCTTCAGTTTCAAGAGAAAAACACAAAACTTGCAAAGGAATGTAATGATATTCAGACTACTTTGTTTCTTGTTCTCATTGATGGAGTTATTTGATCTCATAGTATTTACTTCCATCCATGTTTTGAGTTTTGCTTTTATAAAAAGGATTTATATAAAGTCATGAAAGTTTCTTTCCTTTAGCATTTATTTATCTTGTAGGCATTATATGTACGACTTAGCTTTTGATTTCCTCTCTCTTGGGGGCCGTATCCTTTTTGCTCTTTGGAAGCTTTGGATTCACCTATAACTGTAGGTGTCCTGGCCTTAGGAGCACCCTGATCATGATCGATTGACTTTTTCTTGCATTTTTTCTTAAGTATCATTATCATTTTGAGATTAACACCCGATCTGTCTGGCCATAGATTTTATTTCTTTCATTATTTATTTTATTATTTGCAGCAAGCATGTTTAGATAATTTTTTTCGACCTTTTAGGTTTGAGAAATCTGATTTCCAATTTTGCTGTGAGTAAATTAGTTTGTTAACAGTGAAGAAATGTAAAGAAAATCTGAGGAAGAGATCTTAACTATATCTATTAAAGGACTTATAATTTTCATCCTGAAGTTTGCTTTTGTTTCTGACATTTTGTCTCATCATTGGTATAGGTTCCATCATTTCCAGATGATGTGGCTATGGCTCTTATTGAGGAGGAGCTTGGACAACCATGGTCTAACATTTACTCTGAACTTTCTTCCTCTCCCATAGCTGCTGGTAATCTCAATGACCATTGACTTTCTGCTGCCATTCATATTAGAATCAATTACTGCAAATGTGCATTATTTTTTCAAATCTTCTCAGAAAGGCTTTGTTTCACTGGATTTTTCTTGTACGTGAAGCTCATATATTATTTCCATGTTTTGAAAATTAATGACAGCATCCCTCGGCCAGGTCTATAAGGGCAGGCTAAAAGAAAATGGGGATCTGGTAGCTGTCAAAGTACAGAGGCCTTTTGTCCTTGAGACTGTAACAGTAGATTTATATGTCATAAGGCACTTGGGACTTTTTCTTCGCAAATTTCCGCAGGTACTGATTATTCTTTTTCTTGTTCTAATTTATCTGTGGAAGAGGTGATTAACATGGAGTAATAAATCCACCTGACATCTAATTCTTTAAGATATCCATTGATGTTGTTGGATTGGTTGATGAATGGGCTGCTCGCTTCTTTGAGGAACTTGATTACGTTAATGAGGGAGAAAATGGAACACTTTTTGCTGAAATGATGAAGAAGGACCTTCCTCAGGTAATCGACTGTGACTGTTTGCTGAAATGTTTTGTCTAACAAAGCCCTTTCGCAGGGAATAAAACTCTACTGGTGGTTTTGTTGCACTTAATAATTTCCAGTTTTCAGGTTGTTGTGCCAAAGACATATCCCAAATACACTTCAAGGAAGGTTCTTACAACAGGATGGATAGAAGGAGAGAAGCTGTCACAAAGTACTGAAAGTGATGTTGGTGAACTAGTAAATGTTGGAGTGATATGCTACCTTAAGCAGGTAATGTGCATTGTAATTAATTCATGGAAAGCTTACACATCGGAATGTGTTGATGCATTTTTATCTTCAATTTATCCTCTAACGCCTTGTGAAATTGGCCTACCTATATTTACAAAGGCATTATACGGCTCTCAGCAACTGTTAGTTTTCTGTTTTGACTTGTGTCTAACATCTGTGAGATATTTTCTTCTTAGGCTTGTATCCTTGGCTAGTTTTCCGTCTAATGTTGTTGTGTGCATTTTTGGAGTTTGGTTTAGTTCATACTACTGCTTACACGTCACATCAGCTGTCTTTAGTTATTTGATGCGTGCCCCCCCCACCCACCACACATGCACATATTGGGGTCTGGTGGGGGTGAGGGAGGGAAGGATTATAGAAAATAGCCAGAATTGTGGCATCATGAACACATTTCAATATTTGATAAGACTGTGTGTCTAACATAACTTATACTAAAACATTACCACAAATTAACCAACATCTTACTTCTACGTAATAAAAATCACTTACACAACTGAACAACTTATTATTGATGAAAACATTATCATCGTATTTTAATTTAATGCGGAACACTGAATGCAAAGAAAGTTTCTAAAGGAATGCACCATCAGGCTCTGTCAATTTTATGTTAAATTACCAGTTTGATCTTACTCACTTTTCTTTGGATCTGCAGTTACTTGAGACAGGCTTCTTCCATGCTGATCCACATCCTGGAAATTTAATTCGCACTCCAGATGGGAAGCTAGCTATACTGGATTTTGGTAATCACAGATCTACCTTCCAGTTTGACACACTTCAAGTAACATGATGTATATAAGAGCATAATATGAAAAAATCTAGTACTAACCTTTTCTTATCAGTAGATGTTTACAAGCTTACTTGGTTCCTGGTGAAAATTGTTTCATACATTCTTTTTTCACCTCAATTTGGATCTAATAGCTTGAAATTTCTGTTTTAACTCAGAAGCTTTGTGAACTTTTAGATTTGTCTGTTGGTGTACTCCTATATTTTGATTAGCCTCAACAAACAAATAAAATACCAATAAGCTAAAAACGGAACATTAAAAAGTTAAAAATTCCCCAAAAGGACAAAAAAAAAATAAAAAACCCACTGCCCCTTGTTTATATCTTGTGCAATTTTTGTGTTTTTCTGCAATTCCTGGATTGAATCTTGTTTAAACGAGATCCAAAATTTAGTCATAAAACTCTGAATATATCCTTTGATAACCCACAGCTGACTGCAAACCAGAGTTTGAGTGGAGGGGTTGTCGCGAGCCAGCAAGGGTTTGGTGTGACTTCAATATAACTTGATTTTGGATGTGTTATTGACTTATTTATATCGCCTACAGACCTCGTATGCTGGTGTGGCTTCAAGGCACCTTCAATTTGGATGGAAAATACTGGTACTTAAATGAGGCTTGTTTAATTAGTTAACAAGTCTCTTCTTGGTGTGGTGTTCTTGGTTATGTTATTTTCTGGTGGTTGGGCTGTGACTGATAGCATCCCGCTCTGGGGCTTGGACTGCTGTGGGTAGCTGGTACAGGTGTTGTCCTGCTGGTGGTGGTGGCCCTTGATGGCTGGTGTGGTGGTGTTTTTTCTCCCTTTTTCTTTATTTTTTTCAATCTTTATCTTTATTTTTTCTCATTTTCTTTTGTTTTTTATTGAATACATGTTGTTTACCCATTCTACCCTCATAAAATTTGATACGTGGTAGTTGTATGCGATTTAATGGCTCTACTAGTACTACTTGGACAGAGACAATGAAAGGTTGTGGATCGAAATGTCCCTATTTAGAGGTTGGGGACTAACTTTTTACATAGGCTTTAGGTTGGCAACCTGCTGCAATATCTCCCGAATTTTACAGTTCTATGTATTTGACAGATTTGACTATGATGAAACAATTGATATTGTGAATTTATTCAACTATTTTAACTTCTGCTTTGCAGACGTTTTGGATGCTATAGATTGTGAATCATGTATGCATGCACATTTTATCAACTCTCTCGTGTGTAATTAGGATTTTTCATGGCAGGTCTTGTTACAAAATTGACAGATGACCAAAAGTATGGCATGATCGAAGCTATTGCTCACCTTATTCATCGCGATTATCCTGCTATAGTTAAAGATTTTGTCAAACTCGATTTCATTCCAGAAGGAGTTAATTTGGAACCCATTTTGCCAGTGCTGGCCAAGGTTTTTGACCAGGCTCTTGAAGGCGGGGGAGCAAAAAATATCAACTTTCAGGAGCTGGCATCAGATTTAGCACAAATAACATTTGATTATCCATTCAGAATACCGCCTTATTTTGCTCTTATAATCAGAGCAATTGGAGTGCTGGAGGGCATAGCTTTAGTGGGGAATCCTGATTTTGCCATTGTAGATGAAGCCTATCCGTATGTTGCCCAGGTACAGAAATACAATCCTTTCACTTATATTTGTTTGTAATCCAACTTTTCCTTCTAGGTATAGGTGGATCTATTTCTAGTTGATGGTGGGAAGTTGATTCCCTTCAACAACTATTTAAAAATTTCTCCAGTATTTTCAAGTTTTATATGTTTCACTGATTAGATTACATTAGGAACTCTCTCTCCAACCTCTCTCATAAACTTAAAAGGTCGTAAGAGAAAAATATTCAAGCATTACTTCTGTATCAGCCGTCTCATCTGGTCAATCACAAAATACAACAGGCAAGTTGAACTTAGGGAAATATAGATATTTACTATGAAGAGGCAAATGCTTTTCTAGGACAAAGTTGGAAAGAGAAAATGATTCAAGAACCTCTTTTATTTGATAGCCCCAGTATTCCCTTATCTTCTTCCATACTATCATTAACAGTCTTCTTCCTCACCCATCCGTACCCCTGAAATCTGAGCCCCCTATTCTTCATCGTGCCTCTTCCCTTCCCCCTCCCCTGCATGCCTCTCCTCCACCCTCCCCCATGTCCTCTGCTTGGGATGCCCCCCGAGTTGCTCCCAAGCAGGGGGTGGGGGGTGGCATGAGAGGTAGTGAGGGGACAGCATGCATGCAGGTATTCAAGTATTTGTTTAACTTGTTTCCCTATAACACATTATTCACAAGAGAGAGATTCTCAAAGATTTAATTTTCCAAAAACTCATTTATTTTGAGGGGAAAAAGATTGGGATGCAGGGGGGAATTCAGTGGTGAGGCGGGAGGTTGGGGACACGGGGGTGGGGGTAAGGTGAGGTCGAAGAGCTGAATATGGTGAAAGTCATGTTTATAAGGTTACATCAGTCATTTGATATATAAAAGAAACCTTTGGAATAAAAAATTTAGTAATTGGGCATTTTTTTTACCTTCGACATTGTGAGAAGGCCCTATGGAAAACCAATTGTAAATGTAGTAGACTGATCACAGAATGAAACTCATTTCCTTAAATAAGCAATGAACAGTAAAATAAAAAGAAGAAAAAATTAAATATTCATATATAAATAAAACAGATGCTGTTGGAAATTTCGGTTAGGTTTGAATGATCATTTACTTAGTAATACTTTTTCTTACACACTAATCTCAGTTATTTTAGAGTTCTGTCTGTTACAAAGTCAATTACACTAATGATGAATTGATTTTTCTAGTAGTTGACAGTATTCTATTATGTTTATAAATTAATTATTTGCTCAAGTTGATGGCACAACTAGTTAAGGCATGACATTTCATTATTGTTTCTTGATCTTTTTCTCAATATTAGAGGCTATTGACTGATGAATCCCCACGTCTAAGGACTGCATTGCGATATACAATATATGGGAAATCTGGAGTATTTGATGCTGAAAGATTTATAGATGTCATGCAAGCTTTTGAAAATTTCATAGATGCGGCGAAGAGTGGAGGTGGAGAAAGTATGAATGGGAGCATGGCAGAGCTTGGCATTCTACAAAGTCAAAACAACAATTTGCTGAAGGTATTTTCAGTGAACGGTTCTCCAACATTAGCTATTCCAACACAGCCAATCCAAACGAGAGCAGCCTTGGCATTTTTACTATCTGAAAAGGGGAATTTTTTTCGAGAGTTTCTCTTAGATGAGGTATATTTAATTTCTAGAGCAACTCTATTCTTCTTTTTTTAATTGTCATCCACATTTCCATTTATGTTCACAGCAATCTTTTATTTCTATTTATTAGGGGCACCATTAGTATCAATCATTCACAAGATTTAATTTTTGCTTAACATAACTACGAAAAGGCCAAAGTGCAAGTAGTTCCTTGTAACTATTAGGTAATCAAATACATTTCAACTGATTTGACCCTTCTTACTGTACCCCAATTTTTGTTTTAGAAATAACCAATTAAAAAAAAAAGAGAGAGAGAGAGAAAATGGAATCATGGTGGTTAACAAAACTGCTGTAAAAATGGGATTTCTACATGAAGACGTTGAGAAAATATTAACCATGACGACGACTCACCTGATTTAATCACTTTGATATAGTTTTGGTGTTACCATCTCCTTTTAATTCTGGTTTTCCTGGTATTGGAGAATGGTTTGTGTAACTCAGTGGTATCCAAACTAACCACAATTTATATTCAGGCTTTAGGCAGAAAACTTCTTTTGTGGCTGCCTTCGTGTGTTGTGTGCGCGCGCGCGAGTGTGTTGCACTTTTGCACACATGCGCTTGCCTACCTCCAAATTGAAGGTCTGTTTAGATTATAGATGACAACATGATTTTTGACCGTTGGTTTGGCTGCTCTCTTTAATTTAAGAGATCAATGATCATATTTATTTTTATGAATTACTGAATTTGAAACATGGGCGTTATTTGTAATCATAATTACTAGGCCATGATATTGTACAATATCCATAGCCTAGAAATATATTCTCCTTGTGTGTGGGTAGACTACGCCCTTGTTTGGCTTCATTGTAATGAAGTTTTGGAAAAACTGTATTTTGAAATAGTAATTTTTCAGAGAATGTGTGTTTAAGAAGGAAAAGTTTTGTGCTTTTGTGTAATATTATTTTATTGAAGAATGTGTGGTTGAAAAGGAGCCCAAATAAGGGCTAAATGTAGATTAGATGCATAGTGCTAATCTGACAAAATATGGTCTTTAGAAATGTTAACAATTCTTCAGAAACTCGGAGCATTGCAATTCAACATGTCTATTGAATTCTTTAGTTTTTGATTAATATTTCTTCCCCACGTTTACACCGACAACTGTGCACTGGACAAACATAAATAAAAAATGAATTAAATTGATAAGTTTACGTATGCTTATGTGGTCCTACTCCTAGTGATGTTATTTTGGGGTGAATCCTGAACAGATTGTAAAGGGCATCGATGCTGTTACGAGGGAACAATTGGTACAGATAATGGCATTTTTTGGAATTGGAAATGTATCCCCACTCTTCAGTATGGTTCCTACTCTGGGCCCTATTAGACCAGCTGCACTTCTTCCAACGATTACTGAGGAAGACAAGGTCATACTGAACAATGTCCAGAAAATCATTGAATTCTTAACATCTGGAACAGCATCTTCAACAAAGGTACCTACAAGTTTATAGTTGATAATTGAAAAAGTAGTCTTAAAAAATGAGAATAATTTGTAGCAACTCTTTTGTACTGCAGAAATACTTCTACTGGATAAGATGTGTGGTTTTACTAATATGGATTGTATAAGAATGGAATATATACTCCCAAGAAATGGAGGTAACAGCGATTGAGAATAAATTAAGTAAATGATGCATAGTGATTTGGACATGGTTGCACAGACCAAAGAGGCTCATGTTTATTATAGTGGGGCGATCGAAGTAGAAAGTCAGCGAGAGAGGGGTGGACCGAAAATATGATGGGCTTATAATTGCCAAGGATATAGGCCAATTAGACCTTCTACTAGATCTAAGAATGAATTGAATGTAGTGGCAAAAAGGATTCATGTAGCCAACGCCAAATATATTGGGAACAAGACTAAGTTTTTTGTTTTTATGAAGTTATTGAATATGCACCATCCTGTATATGTTGATTTATATATAGCTACACTTCATATACCCTGCAGGGCGACAAAATTATCTAATGAATAGGATAAACTCCTATGTTATTTTACAAAATGGTCTAATGAATGGATCATTGCTAAGAATGCCTTTGGCCTTCGTGCAAGTGTTCAGGCTTTCAACTAGGCTCCTACGAAAGACCCTATAACAACTATGTGTGCAAGCAGCTATTACTGTTTTGTTTGCTCAACTTTTACGTAGCAACTTCAAGTATGTAAGAAAGTTAAATAAAACATTAATCTCTATTGCCATATTCTAAAGTGTATCATGAATTATATGATGACCAGTGCCATTTCTTTTTTTTCAAATTGTGCTCCAGATTGGTTTCTTTTATTGGTCTAGCCACATTGCTGAATCAACACTTAAACTATTTGGAGAAAGTTATGCTTCAATTATTGATTCCTGAAAGAGTTCTCACTACCCTGTCATGGTTCATGAGAAAATAACTAGATGAAAACTTTGCAAGAATACAATGAAAGAGGAGGGTAATATTAACCGTTTGACATGAATGACTGAGAACTTCTAGAAATGCTTGAATTCAACTGATGATTGGATGGGCAAATTTATTTCGATTTTATTGCTCAACATCCCTTGTCATTATGGAATCATGAATATTTTTTCTGTGCTTCCACAGGGAGTAAATGTTCCTCAAGTGATCCAAGAGCTGCTTCCAGTATTGCCAGGACTCTCTGCAAAAGTGCTTCCTGATGTGCTTAGTCGGTTATCTTCCCGAGTACTGGCACGTGTACTGCGAGATTCATTGCTGTAAATCGAGCCAACTTAAACTGCTTATTTATGCATACATGAAAATACAAAACCTTTATTGTGCCCTCTTAATATCTGATTATTGAAATAGATTTCTTGTAATAGTACATAATTTGGTCAATACAATGACTCAGTAACTGTAAATATGGTTAAACCGGAGAATGATATAAAGTTAACAATTTTTTTTCATTCCTCTGTACACCGTTGTTACTTTTGTTCTGTGTCAATTATTTGATATTCACAGGTTGATTGACTTTGTTCAAATACATTGTCGATGGCAAAGTCTAGAACCCGACGCTCCAATCCCAGGCTTCCCGATTCAGCGAAAGCAATGAAAAACCGATGCACGCATTTATCAAATAAATATATTTTTTGACATTAAAGTGTACAGGGTATTGTTACTGTGAAATACTTTGAAATGAAAGGAAAGAGGAAAAAAGTTGTAACGAGAGTGCGTCAAGAACTTAAATAAAACATCATGAGAAAAGAGGAAACCTCTGTTCACCCGAGGCATACCCAATAATATTTCGTTTCAACGGCGAAATATACTGAGCTCCATGGAAGGCGGCAGCGCGTAATACATTTAAAGGTCCAAAATCAACAGAGTACGCCTTCTGGAAACCATCCAGGATAGACATCAATGTCAAATTAGCAGGTTTCCTATCTGATTCATATCTTCTTAGCAAGGAAACCTGTGTAGACAGCATATTTCTCACTTATTGATCATCTAAAGAGCTTTAGAGGAATACAATCCAACAACGTGGTGAATAATAGCAATGTAATGCAAATACCATGCATAAAGAGTCCAACTTTTAACGCTGTAAAAACACGTCAATTTACCAGCAGCTCATGTTTAACTGATTGAACATGAGCATGAAGGAATTGGCAGCATAAAATAGCTGCTCGGGGTTTTCATGTTTGATGTCACCTTAATTTATCAAATGAATGTCAACAAGGTCAGTGAACAGAAAAACAATGTAATTATATCAACTACAAAGCATCAAAGCCATTCCAGCACACAAGAAAATAAAATAAAAAATAACTAGTAGATTAAAACTTGGAGATAAATGTTAGCTATGGTGATCAATAGTGGCAATAGTGGCCATAATCATCAAAGAAGGAAATTTAGTATAAATGACGCAAATTTTGTTGCTAACAGCATATGGAATAAATTTTCGGATTTTTATAATTGTCTGCTCAAGTTCTGACTGAAAAGTTGAGAAAGGAAAAAATCCCACCTTGATCAAGTTTTGTAGAATATTAAGTTGGTTAAATTTCTTTTTCTTGCTCGCAGAAATAATGCATATCTGTATTTGAGGACATCGCATTCCAGGACTAGGCTATTATATTAAAACGTTCAAACTAGGATTCCAAAATGGTTAACGGTAAAATCTCATATTACAAAAAGCTGGGCCACAATATTTACTTGTGTCATGCCGCTCAAACACTGAAACTAATAACATCTAGATATCTGCCTAGCTAAGATGCCAATGTAATTCATTTGCAAATTAAGGGGCTAGATTAGTGTGCAAAGGAAATTTTTTATGAGACTCCAACAGGACAAGTTGATTATAACTATAAAATTCACAAATAGAAGGAATATACGGGTAATGTTACAAGCATAATGATACCATGCAAAGTCAGCAAAAAAAATTACGTACCTCCCCAATGTCAGCTCCTACGGCAATGCTTTCAGCAATGACTTTTGAGAGAGAGAATGCATCTCCAAATCCCATATTAACTCCTTGACCAGCCAAGGGATGGACGGTATGTGCAGCATCACCAATAAGGACAACACGCTTCAATGCATAGCGATTTGCGTGCATTAGAGACAATGGAAACGCCATTCTTTCTGATGCTAATTTGACAACTTTGGGTGGAACTTTGAAGTTCTCATAAGCTGATGATGTCATATTTGCAGGGAGCCAAGTAAAGGCATCTCCACCCCCAAACAATTGTGATTGAGGACGAGGACCATATCCACTGTCCAAAGCATGGTTTACTTCCTTCACAAAATCAACCTCAGTCATTGATTTGCGATCTGATGACTCATGAGGGTTCATAGTCCAAACAATGTTGCTGAACTTGTCGCCAATAGGCAGAAGTGCAATTGGACCATTCGGGAGAAATCGTTGCCAAGCACATTGATTTTGTTCCATATGCTCAACAGTACATATGACTGCACTCTGGGGGTACTTCCATCCAGTTGCATCGATTCCTGCTAACTCCCTAATGCGTGATTTGGACCCATCAGCTCCAACCTAAAGGTAAGAACCACAGACAAAGAAACCATCAATATGGTTACATGTAAATTGATGTTCAACAGCTCTTGACCAAAAGGAATAGATTAACATTCCCTTCTGCACATCCAGAGTAGTTTCAAGCTTGAAGTTACAAGTTGAAAATTACCACTAATTTTGCATATAGGCTACTTCCATCACTGAGTTCCAGTTTGGCTAAATCTCCACGATGTTGTGATGATGAACTTGGACGTAAGATCATGGAGCTTAACCTGACAGGATGTATCGTTTTCTGGAGAGCAGAATTCTGTCAAAAGAATGATTATCATATTACATTAATGGTAAAATTATGACCCTCAGTTTCATATGCAGCCCAAAGATTGATAAGGCTGGGGAAAAGGACGTGAAACCACCTTCCACACACAATAAAACTACCATATGCTAGTGTTTGATCTTATTCGATTTAGAAAAAGCAAATAAACTACAAGAGGAAAAATGAGAAGTGATGTTTCCAGTCAACTAGGAGTTGGCTACACGATCCCTTTCTGACATTATCTTCAATCAAAATCCACTACTTCTAATAGGTTCGAGAAAATCAAATCTTATGCAACCACCTTATGAAATATTTTTGGTATGCCTCTATCTTGTATCCTGTTATATTGGAATTGAACCACTCCTGTAGATGGGAACTTCTACAGGTCCTTGCAGGACGTCTCCTAACTAGATAAAGTTATCATTCCCTTTAGTATATTTATAATCAACGCCACCTCAAATTGTTGACATGTTGCATCATTTCTCATTTTATAATTTATAATATGACCACATACAATATTAAGATCCTTATTCTGGCACTAGTGTTTCTGATTTTTGTTCTCTAATAGCCAATTATAATTGCCATAAAAACCTAGCTATTCTAATAGTGTTCGGCAGAACTTGCCTCTTCATGTGATAGGTATTGTGTAATGGCATACTATGCCTACAGCACTAATTCATATGGTCCAGTCCACTCTAATCTCATGCATTACATAGTCTAAAAACTACTCCTTTATTAATGATCAAATGAAATTTTAGACAGCATAATCTTTTATTTTGACCCTACATCCTCCTTTATTCCATTATGACTAAAAGGGTATTCCAATGTTCCCTTGGAACCCAAAGTGAACCTCAAGAGTTCTAAGTTACAATTTATCTCCTTCCCAGTGATTTCAACTAAAATTCAACAAATATTAGACAAGGGACCTCATCTTGAAAATGTTTGATAAGCTCATCCTCGACATAACCAAAAAACAGTGAGAAATCAATGCACAACTGACGCAAGAGCGTATTAATTTGACAACGAACAATTAAAGAACGAGAAAAGAAGGAATTCAAGAAGAGAAGAATTGAGGGCAAAGAAGAAATTCAGTTTCTCATAAGTTCAAGAATGCATATTACAATGAATAAGTCCTCTACATATAGAGTAACTAATCTAAAGTCAAAAGAACTTACAAAAAACTAGAACTCTTATCATAAATTAAAACTAATTTAATCTACTCTAAATTCTCGTAATTTGAATCAAACTCTTGGATCGACTTCCAGATCCTAATTGCTCTTAAAATCCTATCTAACTTCTATTTTTATTCAATCTCTATCACCATCATTTCTTCCCAACTGAGCGAACTCGACTCCGAAATGGTGAATTGCAACTTCTTAACCAATGATGACGACCTTTCTTTCTGACTAAATAAAACAACATATCACAAGTGGCAATTGAACCTGCAAATCATCCCTAGAAATATGATATAACCAAGGGAGACGATCTCTCCTAATCAACCAGCGACAGAGAACTCCAAAATTTTTGTAGTACGAGGGAAGATGGGAGAACCCCACACACACACACAACAACAACAGGAGACAGGAAGGTAGTAACCATGCATGTAGCTTTACATGTCACCCAACTTGGTGAAAACAATCATGTTTAGCTTCATTTTGGAAATAAAAATGTGGAAATGGCCAAAGATTCAAGTACCTGCACGCATGATAATAGAGATCTATGAAGCACTTTATTCTCCACTACGCACCTAAATCAAAATCCCAAACAAGTATCATCTGCAAGAAAGGGCTGCATGATTATGAAAATGAATTGTTATATTGCTGAAATTGTGCTTACCCAAGTACTTCTTTATTGATGTCTCTTGCATTGTACCTCGTATATCCAAGACCAGTATAATCCCAGACCTGCAAGAACATATTTGTATGTTCAGCAGTAATTTGTTCTTAAAATTATCAACAATCATGCTTAATTAACATAAGTCACTAGAGGGTATTTTACATAGAATTCCAGTTAATATAAATTTTGCAGTAAAGAAATTCAAGGAGGGTTAATCACCTTGGAGAAAAGATGAAATGAGATATAGCAATGAAAAGGGAAAGAAAAAGGAATTAAATTAAATTTCATCACTGAAAGCCTCAAGCCAGATGATACATACAAGAAACGAGAGGGATAATTGTAATTGGTCATCCAACTAGAAAGTCTATTTGTTCTTATTTTTACCAGTTGGTGAATATCTAGTAACACAGAGTAATGGAACTATGTTCAATTCGCCTTTTAAGATTTCGATTCAAATAAACTTGTATACATTATTTTAATTTATCAGATCAATATTATATTTCATTTTCCTTTTGGTAAAAAGTTTAGCACTGCCAGTCCTCTCTGCATATAAAAATGGTTGTCATAAAAAGTTACAGACAGTCAAATGAGCTAGTTTTCCAATACTGAAGATTG